CGATACTCATTGATATTAAACTCATGTATTGGATCGGGTCGGTCCTCACTATTTATACCACCACTGCCGACTCGTCACTACATCCGGTAATGGTTGTTATTTGTCAGCAATCGACGTGTGAGGCCCCTCACATCCATTGAATTTGTGCTAGTTTTCCATATGACTACATTATAACTTGTTGGTGGAATCAATCCAGCTGTTGTGTGTATCATCGAATCCCAGTCATTTGACAAACACCTTTTTACCCCTCTTCCTTAAAACTTTTTCCACTAGGTGAATATCGGGAATATCTGTTTTCCGCATTTCTTCAAGATAAAAGACATTTTTGGATGGTGTACCACGCTAATTTTCCAAGATGTATGTGGTAGGTCTCGTAATATGAACTTCTACGATTTTTAATAGTTCAGTAGTCCAATTTGGTGTATAGTTCTTTTCGAAAACATGTGTGGCTTTGCTTATTCTCACAATGTCACCATCGTCCAATTTGATTCCTGATTCCAGCAATTTTGATGTGATTGTACGTGAATTTTAAAATATCTTGTTCGTTGGCTTCGGTGACGTCACTGGGCTTGCATCTAATCGTCGTATGTTTGGTGTTTTTATAATTTTTCGTGATTTCAGGCAGGATATCTATCCAACGGTATGAGCCATTCAAACTAAAGTTCTTGTATAGCTTTTCCTTCAATGGCCGTATAACACGTTCAGCAATGGCTGCCTTCATTATGGTGTACGTATGATAATGGTTGATGGGGAACTTCTTCATCAGACTTTGAAACTTTTCGTTGTAGAACTCAGTATATTGATCGGTTTGCCAGTTCTTGGGAACTCTGGTGTTGCCAGCATGTGATAGGATATCTGCAAATGCTCGAGCAATTTCAGTACCAGTTTTTGATTTCAATCGTCGAGTCCATAGGTACTTGGAAAAATAATCAATTACAACCATTATCAGTTCTTGGTCCTTATTTATAGAGGCATAGGGTCGCATTCCGGCCAGATCCATTTGCCATAGGTCATCCAAGCCTTTGATGAAGATGCGACGTCTCGGGAATTTCTCACGTGCAGGTCTATGTGATTCATTAACGAGTTGGATTTTTTTTCTTGAATTTAACATGTTGACAACGTGGATAATGATGTAAGAAACTATGACACAAGGAGTTTATATGATTCGCACAGGAGGTTTTGTTTTTGGTGGTGGTTGTGGTGGTGGTGTCACAGCCGAAGATTTTGGAGCTACATCTTGGCGAGATCCGTTTTGATTTTAGCAATGGCATCAGCGAGCTGACGTTCTCTATCATGACTCTGTTGTTGCTCAACTCTCAAATCGTGCAAACTCTTCACAGTGTTGTCAATCTTATCAACAAGTTCTAAAATAGTTTTCACGTTCGAGTCGATGTTGCTTTTGAGTTTTGGTAGAGAATTGTTACGAAGCTGCTCCACATGTACGTTGGTCTTGTGTACTATGCCAGACAACTGAACAAAGTTTGTATTGTACGATGTCAGTTTGAGATCATGTACATCCACTCTCTATCTTTCTTCGATTATTTCGTTGCTGAAGCCAGCAAGGTAATTTCGGATTTTTTCACCGTCATTATCGGAAGCAATCTTGAAATCTTACTCTATTTGCGATATGACTTAATCCACATATTCTTTGTTTTCAACAAAAGCGGCATCTGTAGGCAGTTTTACGTTACACATCTTCAAATGACCAACATCGATATCACCGGTTGGAGTATGTGAAAATCCAGATCTGACTGTCACCATCTGAGCTGAGCGTGGAAACGAACCACGTCCGAATTTATCGCGACTCATTATGCTAATGACTAAAGTATTGTACGTTATCGATAATGGTCGGCACTTTGCCTCGCCAATTAGCCCCGTCACTCATAGACATGCCATGGATGTGTCACGGAAGTATCACGGAAGTGTCACGGAAGTGTCACGGAAGTATCACAAAACTGTCACGGAAGTGTCACGGATGTGTCACGAAAGTGTTTACCAGGCGGATGACCTGTCTCTCTTGATGGAATCTAGAAGCATTAACGTATATGTGTTTGCTGAACCCCATATGTGGAGACAGTATTCTAAAACAGGTCGTATAATCAAACGAGATTCAAAAATACTATTTATTTCAACTGAAATACCAAACGACCTCTACACGATTTATGCTCAAATCTTAATTCATCTTCTTTCCTGGAGCTTCCTCCTCCTATTATTCTACCTCTTCTCAGAATGTTGAAGTTGCTGTCATCTCTTGGTGAATACTGTGTACTTACATGTACATTCTGAATATGAGACGAATGCTCGACAGGACGTGAATCCCCACTTGGCTCGATCATCTTCAGACATGCTGTATTTGAACGCTCCATAGGTGCTCTGATGTCAGTCAGTTGTTCAAGCGCCAGATATTCATTTCTTACGATTTCAGATAGGTCCATGATTTCCTGATCTCTATCTCCGATTTTTTTCTCACAAGGGCCATCCGTGATAGTATCGTTTTGACTCAATCGCTGACCAATCCCAGAGTTTGACTAGATTCGCGTCAATAATTGTTCATCAATATCAGTAGAGTTTGACCCGTTTCTTTGACCGATCTCAGTGGTGATCGATTCGTTTTGTTGATCAACCGGCTCGTTCCCTTTGTGCTTTCTCGCCAAATGTTACTTCATACTATCCAATCTTGTGAATTTTTCCATACAATAATGATAGTTGAAAACTTTTCCATTATAACTATCCATATGCCGCTTCGAATCATAGGCCCTCTTGAATTTCTTGCTGCAATGCTGACAAGCAAACTTCTCAAGACGTAATATTTTTTCCTCTCACTATGATGTTAGCCATAAGAACTCAGGACAGCGACTGTTTTTCCCTAATACACCTTGCCACACCGCCATTTACCCAGCCACACTGCCATTCACACCGCCATTCATCCCCGCCACACCGCATATCACCCCGCCACGCCATCATTTACCCAGCCATACGGACATTCGCACCGCCACACCGCCATTCACTCCACCATTTATCCCGCCATTCACCCTGACACACCGCCATCCACACCGCCATTCACCCTGCCACACCGCCATTTACCCTGCCACACTGCCATTTACACCGCCACACTGCAATTCACACCGACACACTGCCATTTACCCCCGCCTCACTGCCATTCACACCACCATTCACACTGCCATTCACCCTGCCACACTGCCATTTTACTCCCGCCACACAGTCATTAACTTCTGCCACACGACCACACTGCAAGTTAGCCATGTCACTTGTATAGAGTGACGTTTCATTTTGGTGACGCATGCTCACGCCTCTTTTTGAGTGTTGGTATTTTTTTTTAATTGCGAGAACTTGTGAAATTGAAGGAATACTTGAATCTCACAAATCTCTTCAGTAACAGCATTTTCAGGTACTTCCAGCCATCATTGTACAACGAAAGCGGTCCACGATGCCATTGAAATAACAAAAAAAGGGGGGGATACACAGTCATTGAATGGTAATAGAAGTATCATGTTTTCTTGCTGCCTGTACGAGAAGTCTAGGAGCTTCCCTCCGCTGGAGTGTGTTACTGCCTGTGGAAGCATGAGTAGGAGGCAGAGGAGGAGGAGGCCCTGATAGAGTATGAAGGGTGGGTTTTTGAAAAACAAAGTAGGTATTTCATTCATTGCAATGAAGTCGTTTTTCGTTAATATTAGAGTATATTCATATTTATGTCTACATACATTTCAATGAACACAGACTATTCCATTCCGTTCAACAACTTATTCGAGGTTTTCGGTTTCATGCCTGCTATTATCTATGTATGAAAATTGATTATTTTCTCAACACACATGCTTGGACGTCATACTGAGCACACGTGGTTGGGACATACAGCACACATGTGACAATTGGAATAAAACAAAATAATATTCAATTATCTTTTCGTAAAGTGAAACAAGTTTGAAGAACGCAATGTTTTCATTTGATGAAGTAATTCATCATTGGGGGAGGATATTTCAAAAGTGCTCCAGCTGAACGGTCCGGCTTTCACAACTCGTCTAGTATATTCACTGTATCTGTAGTACGTATTTCTATCGAAAAAATATATATTTCCGTCGATATAACGAAAAGCTGATATTATGCCTGCAGGAATTCCTAGGAAGCCATGATTGAGTGGTCCACGGTTGGTCATGTCTATATAACAAAAAAGCATGTCCACTGTTTGTCTGGAAGACAGCATTAATTTTTGCTTCAGAAGGCAAAGGAAAATGAAAGTTCTGGTGGATTTGGAAACTCGGAAAAGATGCTGCATAATACACGCTATCGTTTATCAATGTCACTAAATCACCTCCAGAATTTTGGAAGACATGAGAAACTCTAGAATACTTCAGATCTTCAGGGAGAAAATCATCAAGCAGCTGTGATGGAATTCGCATATCGTTCAAATCGATCTTCCACAAAAATCTATTGTATCCCACGTACATGCGATAATTTTGAAACTGGGGTGCTGTGGCTAGAAACATAAAGTCTGGCACTTGAATGTCGCATAATCTTGTTGGGGTTTTCTGAGGCGCTGAGGTTGTGCTAGTAACGTCTACGTTATGGGGTTCATTTGACGGCACTGATGAAGCTGTGGTGGAGGTGTCTAACGTGCCGGGATATTGGTTTTTTGGGATTCGGTTGTCTGCGTTGTTGAGGTTGTTGTTGGTTGATAGTTTTTAGTTTTCTGCCCATACAAATATTCTATCGCTCTCTTATCATCTATATTGAATGATGCTGGACTTGCTTGATACCAAGGATACAAAATAGCTTAATTGACACCACTGTGGCCCAGCCCAAGAGCATGGCCAATTTCGTGCATCAGGACCATCAATGAATTAGTTTGGTCATCAGGAGAAGTACTATTTCCAAGATACAATTTTTCTTCTGCATCAAGATGGATCTCGACACATTTGTTGTTTTCATCCGGGAAATATGCATGTGCTGAAACTTTTCCAGGGCCGTCGAAATTAAATGGACACTTAGAAGTGCCTTGGCAGTCTGCTCAAAAATTGTGATTCTTTTCGAATAACAGCTATGGTAATATCAGGCTTTTTCCTGTGAGGGTTTTGTACATTTTCAAACTTCAAATTCGATATCTCCTCCCACCTATCGAATGCCATCTTGACTGTATCACGATGCGCCTGTTGAGTTTGAGGAAAATACCAGCGTATCTTTGTTTTGTTCCATTTCGAATGTATCATGAAATTATTTTCTCCTACAGAACAACGCGGGCTATTCAGCAGGAACTTGGTTTTGTTATTCAGCGTTCCACTCACAGGAAGATTGTACATCTCTTGAAATGTTATTAATGCCGATTCAATGTTGGTGACAGCATTATCCGTTGTATTTATGTATCCAAGACGCTTCAAAAAAGAAGCTGCATATTTTATTGTATCATTCTTGGTAGCAGAAACTGACGCTATGATTGAGAGCAACAGCACATGCTTACTCTTCATAATCTTGATTAACACTGATCAATATATTGAGAGGAATATGATTATTGTGATCCTTCTTGTATTATATCGTAGATAATGATGGTTTACATCGAATTTATATATTCGAACTTCCCACCCTACTCGCCTTAGGAACCTCATGTTATTTTCTATATCGCTTTTGTTGATATTTCAGATTATGTCGTAGGTCTGAGGATGATGAAGCGTTACAGAAAATATGTCAACAGCTGACATCACCTTCGAAACAAACTGACACCACATCCAAGGTAATCGAGGAAAAACTAGATGGAATATTTTCAAACATCAAGCGAAGCAAACAAAAGTCGTTGAGGTAGAAGTAGTTTATATCAATGGAATTGGTCGATATGCCACCTTTGAAGATCTTGGAAACACTTTCTATGATGAACTCAGTCGTTTAATGAGTTTTGGTATAAAGTTGCTCAACATATTTTACGGTTAACGACGAAACAATGTGTTGTCTGGGCTCACCGTGTTCATCTGACTGGTATTGCTAGTGATGGAATGATAGCAGAGATACCTGAAAGTCATTTCTCGTGGGAGTATCTGTAGAAAAGTGAGAAGACACCGAATTTTTTGTGATGTTTCAATGTTGTTGATGAATTAACATTTCCCGTGAAAGTATTTGTAGAAACGTGAGAGGTCGTCAAGTCATTTATGATGTTCAGATGTTTTCTAAGAATTAGTGAGTGTGGCATCGCTCACCAGGCGCATGACTTGTCTCTCTGGTATGACTTGTCTCTATGTGTGAGTGCTGAACTCATAAGAAAAACAGTATTCTAAAACAGGTCGTATCTGTATTTTGTAGAGTAGTTTGTTGTCTGGAATAAAAATCCCAGTTTCTGTGAAGCAGCGTTCGTGATAGAACTTTGTTTCATATACTGTTTGGATGCGATTGTCATTTATAATGAGCATAGGGAATCTTTATATCGGTTTGAAGTGAATGTCACCTTGTGATTATTCTATATTGATGAAGTTGGGCAATATTTCGAATGATAGCCGAGATACGATTTTGCGAAGAACTTCACGTAATTTGAAAAAAGAACAAAGAAATAAGCAAACACAAAAATAAGCCAGCAATGACCGATCCATTCTAATTTTCCACACAGATACACTCTCACCTCACAGATGTTTTTTCTGGCAATAAAAACACACTGAATCATATGTCCAACACGAATAGAGATTGAAATAAGACTCCGATAACAGAGAAATATTGTTATTCGAACTTTAATCACACACACAGGAAATGAGCCATGCAGATATTATTAACCATAATCTACAACAGGCTAATGAATGACCTATTCGATATTGCATTTAATTTTTTTTTGCATATATAATATTTAACCTAGATTCAATATGTTATTGGTATACAGGGCGGCTCAAAACTATAGATGCCTTCAATTAGCGTGGTTTCGTTATTTGAATGTTTTTTCTTCTAATCTACTCTATACTGAGAATTTTATTGTTACCTACACAGAGTGGCCCAAACAAGAAATACCTTGTTAACATTTTTGTTAGATTATAACCCTATGCGACAGATGTCTTGATCAATCAGTGTTGATACCGTTTTATGTTGTACGAGTTGTAACAGAAAATCTCTGCGATGAGATTAGTTGTTATACAGGGTATAGTCTGCCATCGATATGGGGTATGTAAAACCTCGTAGTGATGACACTACCGACACCACCTTATATCTCATTTCTGACATATCCTCGAGAAGCATCGTATCGTTTGTCTAGCAATGGTATGTTCGTGGTAGTTCGCTATCATCGAAGGCTTCAACTAGGTTTCATCAGTTTTTCATGCAATGCGATGTAATGATTCCAACTATTTGGGAAGTCTACCCCACGATTACATACTTCCCAACACAAACACACTATTGATCGGAATCATCAGCTCGTGCATCATACGTTACGTGTATGTGTGTAGGATCCATATCTGAGGTGGGCGACGAGTTCCCTGTATATATCTCTATTCAAACACACTGCATATTGAACGGAAGCATCAGCTAGCGAAGAAGCCTGGGCACGTGTCATCTGTCGATGGCCATCTGTCAAACGTCATCTGCCATACGTCAGCTATCTGTTTGCTAAGCCCATCTGAAGTGTGGTGGTCTACTCATGAGTTGTCCTTTATCAAACACCCTGTGTATCGACCCTGTTATTGAAAAAGAACCTGGATCTAGGAAAAATCTGATCTACTCTACATGGGGTGTTATGGGGCTTTCTGTCGTGCATCGTGTAATTTCAGTAGAGTCTAGGGAAAAAGGACTTGAAATTCACCGGTAAAGCAATGAATCATAGGCCAAAAAGTTTCGCGTGATATCTGTGCTATTTTGAATCGATTGCCATTTTGTTTCAATAGCCATTTTGATTAAAATTCGTAGGTTGTCTCGACTGTGAGTGTTTCTGCCGACAATCACTGGACGGTCACGTTATATACGTCATCTGTCAAACATCATACGTAATATCATTTAAGCGCCATTTTGAACCAGTAGCCATTATGACGGCCTCTGCTCTTGCCGAGCGCGTCACGTGGTATTCGTCAAACGTAAATTGAGCGTTTAGTTTCAATGAGCACCGGAAGGTCACATGTCATCTATCATATGCTATCTGCCATTTGTCATACGTTGGCTGTAATCTACTAAAAATGTGATATATTATCAATGAGACACACTATATATATTCATTCAGCAATCCACCCTGTATATTCCATTTTGATATTGTAGTTGTAGTAGTTAAACTAAGAGACCATGACTACCAGCATAGGGAAATACACGCTTTAATCTTAACTGGAACGCGGCCTGTGTTCTAGCGGGGAAGAGGGGTAGCGCTGGCGCGAGCTTATCGAAACCGCAACAATAACACTTTAATGACAATAACAAGATTTAATTTTCATATACAGGGCGTTTGAGTTGATTGAAAATTGAAAAAAATATATACAGAGTGTCCCACAGTTCGCGGTCCCATGTTTCAGCATGGAAGAAGTGTTTGAGTTGAAAGAAATATATACAGGGTGTTTGAGTTGATGAAGATTGAAAAAAATATATACAGGGCGGCCCATGGGGATGGAAGAATACGAAAACGAAGATAAATGAACTATTTATTCGAGTAATCCTTTTTTACAAAAATGACATGCCTCTTGAGAAGATGGCGGTCCATCCCAGTGTGTGGTTCAATCGGGACGATTATAATGAACGAAGCATGGCAGTTTGATTTGTAGGTTAAAGTTGCTGCGATATTCTTGAGGAAGTTTGTGCCACACCCTTAATAGCCCATAAGGACCTGCATATTCGATGAGACATTCTACTGGAAGGTACTGCAATTCTTGTTCAGTGAATTTCGTCAAAGTCAAAGCGGGAGATTTTATAAACTCCAATAGCACAGCTATTTCAGACTTGATTTTTCGAGCAGAGCTAAAATATTTCAGATGCTACTAGTTTCGCGTCAAGTTGTAGACTGATGAAAGAAAAAAACGAGTCACATATTTCACAGACATTTATTCAAATCAGCCATCAAATCATTTTGACAGTAATATAGATATTCTCTGAGAGCGTTACTAGACATGCTATCGCAAACATCACAAAACCCTAATATAAGCTCTTGTGCACTCAAAACAGTCAGTTTATTTTTTATCCATTCAGCTATTACATTCATAATATTCTGATAAAACATAAAAAAGTCCAAGTCATTGATTGAATTAACTCGATGTGAAACAATGCACATTTCAGCACTCAAAATGTCTGCAACATCTTCTTCCGTCAGATCGAATATGACGTGGTATTTGGAGAGGGTCAACATTTTGACACCATCGCAGACATGTTTGGCTACAGTAGCATAGTCTCCACAAGCAGTAATGATCGGCTCATATTCATCAATAAAACCAGGTAGGGGTTGTTCAAAAAAGTCTTGTTGTGTCTTATGCAGCAAATCGATGAAGGTGGCCCATTCGTAAGTACTGAATGAAATTTTCGCTGGGTAGAAGGGCTTTTTCAGAATGATGGCCGGACTAAATTGTCTAGCTGGACTGAGTCCACACTGGATTGTGTAAGTGGACAACTGGAACGATGTATTCAGCAGGTGGTGTGATTCGGCATTCGCTGCTTGTTCAATCATGTCCAAATATGTATTGACATCACCATAATAACCCATCATTGATGATGATGATCTAGAACTACCGTCTTCGAAAAGTACTTCACTAGATGAATAACCAGAGTCTTCACTCATTGTTCTCGAACTGATGTGTTGAAAGTTTCAGTCCTCATTATTTATACCATAACTAATGACTGATCATAACATCCGGCAGATTGGAATAACAGGTTATTTGTTAGTGATCGATGAAAGGCCTTCTCATAGCCATTGAATGTGTGCTTCTTTTTCATATGTTTGCATTATAATTTATTGTTGGAATCAATCCAACTATTGTGTGTATCATCGAATCCCAACCATTTGACAAACACCTTTTTGCCTTTTTTTCTTAAAACTTTTTCCACTAGATAGATGTCAGGATTTATATTTTTTTGCAATTCTTCAGAATAAAAAGCACCTTTGATCGGAGTACCATGCAAATCTTCCAAGAGATATGTAGTAGGTTTCGTAATACGAACTTCTACGATTTTAAATAGTTCAGTAGTCCAATTTGGCGTATAATTCTTTTCGAAAACATGTTTGGCTTTGCTGATTCTCACAATGTCACCAACGTTGAATTTTCTAATTCCAGCAATTTTTATGTGATTGTAAACGGATTTGAGAATGTCTTGTTCGTTGGCTTTGGTGACGTCACTGGGCTTGCATCTAATCGTCGTATGTTTCGTGTCATTATAATTCTTTGTGATTTCAGGCAGGACATCTCTCCAACGGTATGAGCCATTCAAACTAAAGAATTTGTACAGTTTTTCCTTCAATGTTCGTATAACAAGTTCAGCAATAGCCGCCTTCATTATGGTGTACGTATGATAATGGTTGATGGAGAACTTTTTCATCAGA